TATATATATATATATATATATATATATATATATTTATACACATGTATATACACACATACATGCATACATACATAAACACAACTTCAAAATAACAAATTCTCAACCTGTACTGAAAACAGTTTCTGCGTCTCAGCGCCACCAGCTGGTGAGAGGTGGTGACGTCAATTTGAACCCCGCCCACTGGAACCGGTACTGAAAGCATAATGGAAACACAACCTGTACCGTACCGAGTAGAGTAGAGCCGTGCTGTACCGGTACTACAGGTACTAATGGAAAAGGGGCATTAGAGAGGTTTATTGAAATTCATCCAGTGGTTTGTGAGGTATTTTTCTAAATCTATAAACAATCACATGCACACTGGCAAACATATTGTTGTTTTACTGTGGCCAATAGACAACAAAAATGTGTTTCCCGTAAGTACCTGTTCATCAGTGACATTGTAGGTAATCTGCAGTGTTGTTGTCTTATCCTTGTAATCAACAGAAATGGACGTCTGTGGAGACAAATCGTTCCTTAGTGTGGTCCAAGACATTTCTTCTGAAAAAACAGAAATAAACAAGAACATTAAGAGCCTTTCAGCAAAACTTCAGTAAAACTAAACAAAATTTTGGCATATAGAAAACATATGAAAAAAAAAACCCAAAATAATTATGTACAGTATTAGGTCTTACCAAGACAGAGAAGATACATAATGCCTTCAGCAAGTTCTAGATCTGCCCCTGGGTCTTCTCACAGTGGAACATGTCCAAAAAACCTTCAGATGTCCAGGAGGCATCTTAATCAGATGCTCAAACCACCTCAACTGACTCCTTTTAATAGAGAGGAGCCATGACTACTTCAAACTCTCCCCAGATGACAAAGCTCCTCACCCTATCTCTAAGGCTGAGTCTGGACACCCTACAAAGAAGGCTAATTTTAGCTGCTTGTATACGGAATCTTGTTCTTTCAGTCTTAATCCATACCTCATGACCATAGGTGAGGGTTTAAATGTAAACAGTTTAGTGAATCAAAAAAAAACCAAAGTAATGCCCTCATTACTGACGATGAACCTCAAATCCGTTAATCTATCTCCTTCTACTCCCTAACATCAGTCAGGAATAAGACTCCCAGATATTTGAACTCCTCCACTTAAGGCACAGTCTTAACCCTAACCCCGAGGAGCATTAAACCTTTTTTTCCAGTTTGAGAACCATGGTCTCAGACATAATTCTCATTCCTTTTGTTTCAGACTCTGCTGCAAAGTGTCAAATTGCATGAAGGTCATGGCCTGAAGATGCCAAGAGAACCACATCAACTGTACAATCCAGTGACAAGACCCTTAGTTTTCCATGTCAGACATCCTCATCTCCACGGTTGTACCTTGAGATCCTGTCCATGAAAACCACAAATAAGACAGACAAAGGACAGCCCTGGTGAAGTCCAAACTGCAACATCCAAAGCCATAAGCACTCCATGGTAAATTTCATCCACCTCTAGCCCCCTGCTACACAGGAGCGTTTCAACTACCTCAGTGACATCTACCATGGTAACAGCAAACTCTTCTTTTTCTACAGAAAAAATACAGAAACCATCTGAGCACCATTAAACTGGTTGACCCACTATGACAACGTGCTGCGTTTGACTGAGGGTTTAAATGTAAACAGTTTAGTGAATCAAAAAACCAAAGTAATGCCCTCATTACTGACGATAACCTCCAATCAGTTAATCCATCTCCTTCTACTCCCTACCATCTGAGTTTGTTGCAGCTTCTTAGACTTATGAAGTCTTTTGGATGAAAGATGGAACATATCAACAAAAAGAAACCGTCCAGAGGACCTGACTTAACTTTGTTGGATTATTCTATATGGATTATTGAGCATGCATCTGGATCTTCTTTTTCTAAGTTTTCAGTTTGGAGGAGGCAACACTGAGGTGCCTCCTCAAAAGTGGACATAGTGGTTGGATTAAGCAGATCCTAAACAAACTCATTCAAACATCCAATAATATTCTCAGTTCAGGTTAGGTTAGGTCAGTTAGTTCCCAACTCAATCCAACCACAGTCTAGTATGGGGTCTGCTTTCCTTTTCTGAGTTGCCAAACCTTTATGAGGCCTAGCCTACTAACCCTGAGGGTCTTTTTCTTAAGCTTGATGCTGTCAGGGTTTGGTGGACAAGAACGAACCCAGTAGTGCAGACAGGACTCAACTCGGCAGATTACAAAACCAAACACTTTAATGAAGAGTAACAAAGTAACAAAATAATAAGCTGACGAGGCAGCAACACTTACAAAAACTAGAAGACTCAGGAGGGATACTCAAACGGGACTCAGGAAACTCAGGAAGCACAGGAGAACACTGAAGACCCAAACGAATACGACGCGACAAAGAACAAGACAGAACAGACAGCTTTTATACAAGGACAAAACGAGACGTGATTACAAACAGCTGGGACGAGACACAGGTGGCAACAATGGAAACTAACGAGGAGCACGAGGGAAAACAGACACACCGGGCCACAGAAAACTAACATCCTTACAGATGCCACCATTATCCATCAACGAGTTCTTTGGTTACAACTACGAAAGGCTCCAATGACCTTTCGAGCCACAGTTTCTGGAAGCCAATTCTGCAGTAAAGACCCTAAACATCCATCCATTTTCTTTACCCGCTTGTTCCATTTTGGGTCACGGGGGTCGCCAGTGCCCATGTCCAGCAATCACTGTGCAAGGGGCGGGGTACACCCTGGACGGGTCGCAAGTCCATCACGGGGCCACATAGAGACAAACGAGACAAACAACCATTCACTTTCTCACTCACACCTAGGGACAATTTAGAGTTACCAATCAGCCTAACATGCATGTTTTTGGTCTGTGGGAGGAAACCGGAATACCCAGAGAAAACCCACGCATGCACGGAGAGAACATACAAACTCCACCCAGAAAGGCCCCTGGACCGGGGTTTGAACCAGGGACCTGCTTGCTGAGAGGCAGCAGCTCTACCAGTTGCGCCACCGTCCTGCCCCGACCCTGAACATGATCCAGTCAAATTCCATGTCCTCAACTATTCACAAGCAACATGAAAAAAATCTCCCTGAACAGGGGTCAGGGCTCTGCCAGATATTCCTAGTTCACCCTCACTATTCTCTTATATTTTACTTAACCTTGATTTATACATATCCTGATGCATGCTCAATAATCCAGGTAGAAAAAGCTAAAAAAGTTAAGTCTGGTCCTCCGGACATTCAAAAAACAAAACAAAGTAAAACAACAACAAAAATGTAGAAACGTTTCGTCTTTCATCCGAAAGACTTCTGCAGTCTGAGGTGCTGTATTTAGCTCAGTCTTATAAATAACACCTTCTCAGATTGGATCAACCAGTTTGCTGCTGACAACCAAAACCAGCTGCTCACATGATCAAGAAGGACCATCGGCCTAACAATGGATCATTAGTACCCTGATGGCTGTTTGCTATTCACAGGGGGCTTTCTTGGACTGTGAGGTCTCAGTCTCTGATAGAGGACATTTGCAAACTGAAGTGTACCGCAAACCCACCCACACAGACCAATACTTGCAGTTTGACTCACATCACCCTTTGGAGCACAAGTTAGGAGTCATCAGGACTCTGTACCACAGAGCAGACAGCATCCCCACTAACTCAGGAACCAGGCAGAAGGAGAAATCCCACATAAGACAGGCTCTAGAGCAATGTGGATATCCTAACTGGGCCTTCCTGAAAGCAGAGAAGAAACCCAAACAGGACTCCAGTCAGCCATCAGGTGAAAAGGAGGAACCCAGACCAGTGGTCAATCCGTATGTAATGGGAGTATCAGAGAAACTAAGACGTTTATTTTCTAAACACAATGTCCCAGTGGCTTTTAAACCCCAAAATACATTACGGCAAAGACTAGTTCGTCCCAAAGATCCAGTCCCCCGGCACAAACAGAGAAATATTGTGTATGCTGTTCAGTGTCAGGAGGACTGTGATCAGTTTTACACCGGGGAAACTAAACAGCCACTGGCCAAAAGGATGGCCCAGCACACAAGAGCAACACCATCAGGCCAGGACTCTGCGATCTACACTCATCACAAGGCCAGCGGTCACTCGTTCAGGGATGAAGATGTTCACATCCTGAATAGAGAGGAACAATGGTTTGAGAGAGGAATAAAGGAGGCCATCTTTGTGAAAAGAAATCGTCCATCATTAAAAAGGGGTGGAGGCCCCTGTGTTCAACTGTCCCCCTCCTACAATGCTGTTATTGCTAATATCACTCAGTCCCCTGTGAATAGCAAACAGCCATTCAATTCAATTCAGTTTATTTATATAGCACCAAATCACAACAAAGTTGTCTCAGAGCACTTCACAGAAACATTCGCATGCATAAAGGCCAATTAGTAAAGATCTCGATCTAAGTCATCAGGGTGCTAATGATCCATCGTTGGTCATTCTTGATCATGTGAGCAGCTTGTTTTGATTGTCAGCAACAAACTGGTTGATCCACTCTGAGAAGGTGCTATTTATAAGACTGAGCTAAATACAGCACCTCAGACTGAAGAAGTCTTTCGGATGAAAGACGAAACGTTTTTACTTTTTTTTTTTTGCTTTGTTTTGTTTTTTGAATATCCAAAGGACCAGACTTAACTTTTTTAGACTTTATTTGTACAGGTAGTCTCACTGAGTCACAAGGACTCATTTTCGAGAGACCTGTTTTAGACAAACAACATATAGAGTAGATATATGCATGTATTAACTAGGTATGTTTGCTATACTCTCACGCCACTGTAGTGAACTAGACCTTCGACCTCAACCTGTCTCTGAAGACCTTCAGGGGATAGGAACTGTTATTTCATTGATTTGAATCCAGAAATACAAATTATCTCACCAAGAGACTATTTAATTGTATCCTGAATTAATCAATTGAAAGAACACTCTTTTTTTTACATTATCATTACTATTTTAAGATATCTTGATAATCAAAAAGTGTGTTTAGTTCATACCATTTCTAAATGTTGAAGTGAACCACTCATTTAAATCAACTGTGAAACATTATTAATGATTTTTAAACCTCATTAGACCTTGATCATACAGTTAAATGCCCATTTACGAAACAAGTGTGCATTTAGTCTTCTGTCTGAATGAGGAGTAGGACTGCATGTCGGTCGAAATCAGAGACAAACAGAGACGAGTTATTAGAACGAAGTGTCTTGTTTTTAAAACTCGCAGACAGTAAATAAGAGCAACTGGCACCTGCGTTTGTCTCACCTTGTCATAATATTTTCCTGTCTGTACTAACCGTTTTTGAAAACATTCCTGCTGTCTCTTGACTTCTAGTGACCATCTAACATCACTAGAACCACACCCCTGTTGGTTGTTTCAACCAATCAGGAAGTACCACGTAACAGGAAGTGTATACCCCTTTAAAAGGAACACTTCGTGGAACTATTCAGGCAGTCCTGGAACTCAGTTGGAGTCTTAAGTCTTAGTCTTCACGAGTCTTAGTCTCTTCTAAGTTGTAGTGTGCTAAGGGCTAGGTTAGCTGCACCTCCTCTACAATATATAAACG